GAAAAATTGGTCTCCTGTTTATGCTTGTAATTTTCACAGTACGTGCCTATAAACTCAAAGATTTAAAACAAAAATAAATCAAAAGATTAATTAAATTCAACAGTAATACAGTATATTTCTTAAGATGAAATACTGGATTTCATTACCCCTACATATTGCTAAAGTTTTTCAGTCTGCTGAACAAAGTCTTGCTATCTCTTATATATATACCTTAGCACAAACATAATTAAAATATGCATAATTCACAATATAGTACCAATCACATAATACATTGCTGCCAGATACATGCATTATAGATTGTAGTTTTGTTTTGCGAATTTTGTTTACACATAGATGGCTCCACAAGTGCTTAGTCTGCAATGAGTTATTTAGAAGGCTTACCTGACCTCATCTGCTTACCTCATTTCTTGAATTTTCGGAGAAAAAAAATCTAATACTAATATTAGCACTACTATTATGGTTATGACTGCTATCATTATTATCATCATTATAATAATTATTATTATCAATACTGTGACTATTATAATGTTATTATCTTTCCTATCAGAATTCTTAAAATTGCAAACATCAAGAAAATGGGTATACAGGATAAATAAGGTATAATAACTGACTCCTCGATGATTAAGCTCTTCTGGAGCTATCAATCAATAGATTAAATCACTGTGTACTGAGTATGCACATACATGCCCTGTACAGTTTAAAATATAGCATGAAACTTCACATTTCTTCCCATCAGTTGACTTAAACAAGAAGCTCCAACTTAAAGCTTTAATTCAAAATGCCTTTCCACTGCTACTGACTGTCCAAGAATAACTCACCCATAGAGATAATAGAAGAAAGCCAAAAGGTAGAAGGCCAGCTTGATCCAGCCCTCTCTCTGGCACTGGCTCAGCACCTCATGGTTCATGATGCTTGTGGGGTCGTACAATCCAGGCCCGGACATCACTGGTCTGTTTCGGTACCTGAATAACACGTACAGAGCTCAAACCAAAGTCCTGATGTGTGTAATTCTCAGAGAAATAAATCAAAATTCCACATAATGTGTTCCTCATATGCTGTGTTATTAAGGGACAACCTAAAGTTACTGTAATTACTCTGAGGGTGTGCTGCTGCTTACCTGTTGATATGGTAGGCAATAAGAGGCACATTGAGAGCTAAAGTGAACCACTCGCCAGCCATGAGGAAGAAGATGTTGAACAGCAAGTGAAGGGCATATTCTGGTAACACCAACTGCAAGAAAACAAGAATATGTTTGTAAATGTATCTTGAACGTTACCAGAATGACACATGAAGGAAGTTCTGATAAAGTGAATAAGTTACAAAATATATAGATAAAAAAAATAAATACATATGTAAGAGACAAAAAAAAAAATAAAAAATCTAATACAGCATTGAATGCATGACATTCTAAATGAAATTTAATCCAATAACATATTACATTTAAAAATATCAATCCCCCAAATATATACACATACAATATATATTTATTATTAACACACTTACTCCCCCAATAAACACAAGCCAATAAAACTTACTGGATTTAGGCTGTTACACTGGTCTATAGGGTTTTTGTAGTCTGTCTTCAGTTCATCAAAAGCAATTATCTGAAAAAAAAATTAACAAAATCAAAATTAGTTTAATACTCCTCTCCCTGTAGTAAAGGATATACTTCCTTTAACCATCTTGTAATAAGGTTGGGATTAGCTTCTACTTTCCTTCTCAAGAAAGGGAATGTGTGAGCAAAATGATGCCCTCTATATGTCCAGGTCATCGAGCTGTGGAGCGGCAGTGCTTGGCAAGGTGGCCTAGGCACCAACAATTCTGATACTGACAGGGGTAGGTTGATATGGTCAGACAGAGAGGCTCTTTCCACCAATATAAACATCATGAGGGAGATCATGTCTACAAAAAGTCATCTTGGCAATATTGGTGTAGGACTTAGGCAGCCTCTTGGGGGAATGGTGTAGAATTGTACTGTTACTGCATCATAGTCTACGAGGCAAGTAAGTCTTCACCACAATCTGGCCAATCCTTATCGTAGACAGGGGAGTTTGTTGGGGAGATAGAGCCAGTTCTGGTACAAGTATTGAAGGAGGGATGAGGCTGAGCAGGAATGGGTTTGATAGTGAAACCAGTCAAGTCTGATAGTGTTTTAGCTTGGGGTTCTGATGTAATTGTGACAAAGCAGGAACATTCGTTGATAAAGGGGCAAGCCACATTGCCCCTAACAGAGGTACAAAAACTTCATTATTGGCCATGGTAAGCCTGGAGGGAGAAACAGTCCACAGCTCAGGGTACCCTTGAGGGTAGGTTGTGGAGTAGGGGCTAGACAACTAAACAGGGGAATACCATGACTCCTTCAGACCATTCATGACTGGTACATAGTAAGCTTTTCATCTTTTCAACACAGCTCTCATACCTTAGGAAGTGATAATAGAAAGGGTTGGAGAAGAGAAGGAAGTGGAAAGGGAAGAAAGACAAAATTGTGCAAAATTGGTTGAGTCTGGGGCTGAGGCCCAAGGTAGGGGTGATCCCCAGCATTATGTAGCATGTAATAATTTGATATACATTTACAGGAAAGTGTAATTATTATAAAGAAAGGGAAAAACAACACTAACTGGTACATAAAATAATTTATGTAAACAGAGAAATTTCAGGAACAGAACCCCTGAAAGACAAATACAGCTATCTGGTGAGGGTCTGGGGGTGAAACTGTTGGGTTAGAATGGTTTTTGGTTTGTATGATGTTGTTTGTGGATTCCAAGAAGTGGCTGGAGTAATAGGGACTTCACTTCAAAAACAATTACAAATATTTTCATGATACCATTTGTGATGGGAAATGACATAAGATTCACATATTTTACAATGTGAATAACTAAAAGAAGGAATAATAGGTTGGATGGGTGTGTGAAACTAAAAGAATTACCTCTTATTCCTCTGTTCATGAGTGTCTTCAAATTTTAATGCAGCAAAGGTGGTGCTGCTATGTAAATGAGCGTATACCTATAGCATGGACGTTCTCACACAGCACACCTTGTAGACCTTTTTTTATGATTTACTATCAAATAAGGACCCAGCCAAAGCTCTACTTTGCACAGTGGTCATGGCATTTATTGATGTGATCCTATTCTGACCAATTACCAAAAAAAGCCTTATAATGTCTTTAGATAAATTTCAGGTTTCAACCAGCCTTGGACTTTCGAAACAATTTCCTTTTAATGGTTGTTTACTGCTCTTATGCTGTTGTTTTCTGTCGAACCATTGCAAGACAATAAGATATCCATATTATTTTTTATGCTTTCAAGATAGTCTTTGAAAAGAATGTTTTTCATAACTACTGTTATATTAAACAACCCTATAAACATAAATTTGTAGCCATCAACAAAGGTTTTCAAAACTCTTACCCCCTGGGCCCTTGTTCAGTCGCTCTCAATAGAACTATCTCATCAAAAGGAATTGGGGCAGAGTGGGGTTGGTCCAATTCTTTCCCATCTAAAGGGGAGGGGGGGGGGGTTATTCGGTGATACACTTACTTTATAATAAAATATTGTGGAGGAACAAATCATTTTTTGCACAAACAATGCCTGAAATGATATAAATGTAGCTCACATATATCAGCCACTTCACTATCTCCTTATGGTAAAGGCAGGCTTTCCATATATAGAGTATGAATAGAGTATGGTTTATTAAATGGTATAAAAGTAGTAGTGGTTTATTAAATGGTGTACATATCCATGATCCTTTAATGCATGGCTTACATATCAGCTGTTGCTATTATGATTTCAGGTTATTTAATTTATTAAGTGATGAACATTTTTGTCCTGCAATCAGTGCCAAGCACTACTGCCACAATTTCCCATAAAAGTTCAATATCCTCAGAGACCCGTAACTTACCTGGGCTCTCTGTCAATTAATTTTTATTTTGTTACTTCTCAATAAATGCCCTAATTTCTCTTAATCCCATAATTTCAAAAACCAACAATTAACCCATAATATATTTTTCAAAATAAAAATGTAATCCTTATGGGAGTGGCAATTTTCTAACTGGTTGAAAAAACTTTTGTATGTTTCACATCATTTTCAGATATTTACAATGTTCTGTAATGTATTGAAATATAGAGAATCCTATTAAAGTAAAATCTTAGACACTTAACAGTTGTGGATCTCACACCACTTGCAATCAGGTCTGCATTTTTTATTAGTTCTCAAATTTACAATACACAGCTATCACATGCCTGGTGTCATGTGATTTGTTATTAATATTTCATGCAGTGCATTGGCTTTCATAACTAGTATATCGCACATTTGCAATGTACAGTAAATTGCTTTAAAAGTACCAAGAGAAACTCACACAGTAGCGTATTTTAAAATTCCCACACAATTCTTTAGGCTTATCTTGCCAGTAATATGGGGCAGACACATCAATTTGTTCAATGTAAGAAATTTGTTAGTTGCTCTAAATACTCAATATTATTAAAGTTTACTTTTGTACCGTCATACTTTTTGGCAGAAAAGTCTCCTTCGTGTAACTTTATGCAGGCTTCATCTACATATAAAATTAATTTATTACAATAAATGTAAACAAACAAAATGGCATCAATGTTTTGTTTGAGTTAATCCTCAGGAATAACACCATTTAACCAATCACGATGATTATGATATCAATACATAGCTCTCGCCTTCTACTAGACACATATGTAAATTTGTTGTGGAATCAACCCAAATCCCCACATTCTTGTCCCCAATAGCAGGGAAACAAAGAATCCTTTACACTTTACACAACAGAGTAAAGTGTCAGACAGACTTGGTGTCATGAGCTCCCACATGTCAGTCTTGTGCTCTATCCTGCTGTGGAGATGTGAGGATTCTTGATTTTTACTAAGCACAGCCCCCTGCACTTGACAATACAGTGACTAATTCTGTGTACTTTGTTCATATTTTACCCTGCAATTTCCCCAGTACCTTTCATGACCTCCCTTGATACCAGGGCCAAGAATGTGGGGGTTTGAGGGGGTTCAGTGGCAAAATTTTGATATATCTGGATAGTAATAGGTGAATCCATCGATACCAAAATCATCAGTTATGTGACACTATTCCAGAAAATTACCAGGGCAGGAAAGATCTTTTTTTTCAAGCACATGTTGCATAACTTTGTTATTATCAACTTGCAATTACTGCAATTGGATGGCAATTATTAAAAACCTGAGATACTTTTACAATTCGGGCTCTCTGAAACTTGTGCGTCAAATAACTTTGTTACTTTTGATTTGCAATATAAGTTTCTTAGATTTACATGCTCTATCATTTGCATATATCATTTTTCATAAAAAAAAAAGGTGGCTGGTTGAAATTTAATTTATCAACTCTGACAATTGGGTCTTCCCTGACAAAATTTATATCATCATATTTGTTCTCATGTGATGAGAATGTATTTGATGATCATTTCTGTCACATTCACAAGCCTACAATCTTGATGTGATTTGATAAGTCCCAATGGCAGGGGAAGGCATGAAGTAGATCAGGGAAGTAACGGGGTAAAATTTGCTGAAATAGAAAGTCTACGGACTGATGCGCCAACTTTCAAAAAACAGGAATCAAACCCATTGTTCAGTAAAAACCTATAAGATTTCACATAATCCAGATCCCTTGTGGTAATCCTACAATGTGTGTTAACCAATAAACCAACTTAACTTTAACTCTGTGGGATTTATACACTACAAACTATACATTCCATAATCAAGAGGCTCTGGACTCCCGTAGTAATATATATACTCCTAAGCAGAGGGCTATGACCTCTGGATCCCATGGTATTATATGCACCTAGGCAGGAGGCTTCAAGAAAATACAATCTATATATCACCTAGTCAGGGGTCTCTGCCCCCTGGACCCCTAGGGTAAAAACAACATACTTTTATATAGCAAAACACCAAACATTTCTTCAATTACGTCTATGGTCAGAAGTGGAGTTTCTAATCACTTTTTTTGGCATTTGGGGTACTTATGGACTTGCATATAAGACTGTGATAGATATTAATGTCTATTTGTTCTGTATATCCAATATATGGCTTGAAAAATGACCCAGAATTAACATAACACTTAAAATGAAACATTCCTCACTGGCATTCCTCAACGAATGGCATTGCACGGCCTGTCAAATCTCCTGGTGGCAAAATGTGCATGTGCAAAATGTTACTGTACAGAATAACTTAAATAATTACCAAAACATGTAAAAGAAGCATAATAATACTAAAAGAAGCATTACCTACATGATTTCAGAAAAAAAAAGATGCTGGTAATTACAAAAAAAATAATTCTCACAAGCACATACTACTACATGAACTACTTGATAGATCACAGTAATGAATTAATCATCTCAATTGTTTTGGTCCTCGCATGGTAAACACATTGGGGGCTTAGAAAATGATAAGTCAATCTTCTCTCGATCTATATCTCCTTTATTTTTCATTTGCGCACCTTTTGCCACAGATGAAACGTGTCTTAGTTTTCGTCAAGGTAACCAATCCATACAATTTCCTTAACCGTAATCCTGATTATCATACAAGGGAAATTTTCCATTCAACTGTTACCCTTCTCTATCTATATCATATCTAGATTATCTTCCAGGTAATATCGGGACTGAATAGAAAAAATAATCCTTCACCTAGTTGCCTCCAATAGCGTACACCCAAACCCTACGTAATCGAGTCCCAGTCATGAAATCTGCAGCAGGAGGTTGCGTGGACGAATCTCAAATCCAATTAACATTACTAACAATCATAAATCATTAATTTCTTAAATCGTTACGTAAATCTTCCTTCTACTTGATTGTTTTGAAAATTATTATGCAAAATAAATCAGCTTCCGTAACCTGGCATGCACTAAACCATCCTAATATGCATAAACGCTTTGAGAATGACTAATACCGGTATATTATGATCAGACATTGCATGACAAGTTCATGACTGCCTTCAAAAAGCCTCTAATTCTCCTGCAGATTCTTATTACTACAACTTATGAAGCCCTCCAATAAACTCATTACAAACAAGTCTTCATACTCACATGGAAAATTGCGAAGAAAATGAGAAATGCATCGATTATCAAGGCGAGGATGTAAGAAAAGGCAGCGAAGGTAAACGCCATGTTTATGTTTGGATTGGAAATGTGCCGGGCGGTTGGTTCCTTTCACAGGCCGGGAGTCTTTTATGGTCGCTCTGTTGAAACCGTATTTATATTTGGTTCATATTATTATTCAACTCTAGTTTGATAGTTATTTGTTGATGATATACCGTATATACATATATATTTAACACGCACGCAAACACACATACATGCACACGCACACACACACACACACGCACACACACACGCACACTCACTGACATTTTCCGTATTTAACCTGTGATATTTTACCTATTGCTAATCTCCAACTTACGACCGATGTCATGTTTATACCATTAATGAACTTAAACGTGCTACAGCTTGCTCTTTAATGCTTAAGTATATACGTTTCTTAACACTCAATTTTATGTATGTAACTGAAAGTCCTATCCTATAGAATACTCTATTTTTTCTATATGTTTCATTCTAACTTTACATATTTCCTATGTTAATTTGTTTGGGCTTTTTCATGCTTGGAAATTTCTTTTAAAATTATTATTAAAGTGTGGCAATCTTCCCTTCTTACATAACTAATCAAAATGTTATTTGTAAACCATTTGTATGGTCTATAAGAATTTCTAATGCAGGGATTTGTTGTATCTATAGCATACTTGTGTTCAATAGGCACTTGTCCAAAAGATTATCAAATGCATCTAGTGTTAAAGCTTTAAGATTAGCCAACAGTCAGTAATGATGATCTATTTAGCTGGAGCTCTCTGGTCATGTAGGACTTTGATCCTGACAGAGCCATCCTTGCTTGGTTTAATGCCCTTCCTAAACACACCTTGTCACTAATAATTGTCACGCACACACACGCACACTCACTGACATTTTCCGTATTTAACCTGTGATATTTTACCTATTGCTAATCTCCAACTTACGACCGATGTCATGTTTATACCATTAATGAACTTAAACGTGCTACAGCTTGCTCTTTAATGCTTAAGTATATACGTTTCTTAACACTCAATTTTATGTATGTAACTGAAAGTCCTATCCTATAGAATACTCTATTTTTTCTATATGTTTCATTCTAACTTTACATATTTCCTATGTTAATTTGTTTGGGCTTTTTCATGCTTGGAAATTTCTTTTAAAATTATTATTAAAGTGTGGCAATCTTCCCTTCTTACATAACTAATCAAAATGTTATTTGTAAACCATTTGTATGGTCTATAAGAATTTCTAATGCAGGGATTTGTTGTATCTATAGCATACTTGTGTTCAATAGGCACTTGTCCAAAAGATTATCAAATGCATCTAGTGTTAAAGCTTTAAGATTAGCCAACAGTCAGTAATGATGATCTATTTAGCTGGAGCTCTCTGGTCATGTAGGACTTTGATCCTGACAGAGCCATCCTTGCTTGGTTTAATGCCCTTCCTAACACACCATTGTCAATGTTAATGACTTCCTAACATTGTCCACCTCAATCTATTTGGTTTATATTATCCATAATCAGATATGTACTCGGGGATGAGCTACTCTCTCTCTCTCTCTCTCTCTCTCTCTCTCTCTCTCTCTCTCTCTCTCTCTCTCTCTCTCTCTCTCTCTCTCTCTTACTCTCTGTCTCTTTTCTTTTCTCTCAAACTCTCTCTATCTCTCCTTTCTCTCTATCTCTCTCTGTCTCTCCTTTCTCTGTCTCTCTCTGATCCATAGCAGCGGCAGTCTTCTTCAGTCTTCTTCATCCAATTCAGTTTTGATGCCCGATTTTGTGACCGGTTTACTACATCATATCTAAAGGTTTTGTGTCATCTGAAAGCAATGCAACCAGGTCTGGTGGTAAAATGATATGATAAGATTTATTGTCCTCGATTTATTTTTTCATTCTTAAAGAAAACGTTAAGCCCCAAAGCTGAGGAAAAAATTATTAGTTTTATTACATCTAGATAAGATCGTGTTATAATAACTAATAAATGTTGTAATGTAAAGAAAAAGTAACAAGTTTTGCTACTGACATTCATTTAGCCTGCAATAAATTTCCATTAGTAATTGACTAAATAGCCGCTCAGGTGAAAGATGGACACTGGTCGTGTACGCAAGAAACATGTGAGTAGTTATTACTCGGTGTCTTTGTATGCATCTCAGGTATTTATATACTCAAAAAAATTATCCTTACACAGTATCCACTGCTCTTTGATTTCTTGGTTTGCTAATCAGTAGTGCAAGAAAATACCAGTATCACAATTTTCAACTATAATCTAAAAATGTGTTTATTATTACATAGGTTGTCGTTTCTTCCTTAATCACTAATCACCTAATCAGTCTTAATTACATACTGATTTCCTGCTAATACTGCTTCTTATAAAAATGTAAGTTGTAGTCATTATTAGACAATGTCCGATGTATGTTACATACCCAGTAGATGACTGTGTGATACATGTTGTATATTTTATTTGTTGAAAATTTTCTGCTGCGTCAGCATCTAAGCTCATTAGTAAGTATTGTTTGTGGATTCCTAGAATGGTCAATGGTTAAAACAAATAAATGTACTCGACATCAAAGGTCGTATAGTATTGTGGCGTATGGGGTAAAAATGAGTTAACAATTGTAATAACATAAGGAGGCTGTGTCCCTCTGTAATTGCATTGCCGTTTGTGTCTTCAGGTGTTGTGGAGTTAAGTTAAAGTTGTCACAGCTTCAAACACTTTATTTGCACAGGAATATGGTAGGTGGTGTACAGAGGACAGGCGTGACAGAAATGTTCAAGAGGGAGCGAGGCCTTTTGCCACACCCGCGAGGCGAAGCGGTCTGAGAGAGAGCTTGAAGTGTTGCCTGAGCCGATGCTGAAGGCAGAGTGACTTTGGCTCTCTGAGTTTTTGAGGGGTTCACAAAATATTCACTAAACATAAGAATATGACAACATTGTTCTTTCGTGGTTAGGAGTATAGGCCGATTAGACCAAATGGATAGTATCTATGCATTTATGAGGAAAACTAACAAAATATTCATTATGAAACAACCAACAGGTAATACGGGTAGAAAGGGTAAAAACGGAAGTTAGAGAAGTAGGGGAAGAATTCAGAGACTGAGATTAGGGAACAGGGGGAGGTGGTGAATTATCAGAAAGAATATCAGGAAGGGAGGGATCCGGAGAAGGACGCTGTTATGGCATAAGAGAGTGAGCATCCAGGTGGCAGTGGTAAGGATAATGGGAATGAAGAGGGAATGATGCACATGGAGGAGAGATTGAGGTGTTTTAAGGGTGGGCGGGAGGAAGAGGGGTAGGGGGAACTTGAAGAGATGGAGGATGAATATCGGCAAATACTTTGAATGTACAGTGAATAGGAATAGAGGGATTGGGAGATGGTTGAGGAGTGGAAAGTTCTCTCGGGACATGTTTAGGAAGTTTTGGGTGTCTTCAAAGGTTTCTGGAGGGGAGTCGGGTAGGGAGGTCTGAGAAATAAATGTTCTTGTGAGGAGGAGAAGAGGGGAGAGATGTTCAAGGAACACAGGAAAAGGTGGGTGTGAGAAAGGATGTAGTAGAAGATGGGTGGAGTGTTTAGATTGCCTGGTGGGACAGTAAAAGGGATAGGTATTAGGGAAGTGGTAGAAATTGGAGTTTCTGGATTTAGACTGGAAAAGGAATTTGACTGGAGAGGGAATAGAGGTAGGATGGTTTAGGGTAGAGGGAAGAGATACTGGGAGAGATGCTGAGACATCTTGAGAAGATGGGAGAGAAGGGGAATGAAGGAAAGTTTTGGAATAGGTAGAGAGAGAAAAACCTTGTCAACATGCTTCCTGTTTGGCCTCATGTAGAGTGAGGTCTAGTTTGAATTTGAGAACTGCTACCTCAAATTTGAGCTTGTAGTCAAGGAAGCTCCTATAAATATATTATGGAAGCCACCACAATTTGTAGATGTGCATGGCTGACTGAGCAGAGTAATTTTAGTGGTCATGACTAGGTTGGACACAAAGGGCAGCTGGGTGGCCAAAACTTAAACATTTCTGACAGTGACGGAGAAGGGTTTGGACTGGGCAGGACACTCCAGCAATATAAACTTCTAGTGGGAGGTCATGTCTATGGAAGCTAATCTTGGCAATATTGGTGAAGGACATACACTGGCCTCTGCTGTACTGTATGTACTGCTGCTGCGTCATAATCAACAAGCAGGTCTTTTTAGTCTGACCAGTCCTTGTCAGGGAGTCAGAAACAGTTCCAGTACAAATATCAAGAAAGGAGTGAGGCTAGGCAGGAATAGGTTTGCCAGTCAGATTAGCCAGGGTAGTTAGTGCACAAACCCAGGACACCAGGCTCATGCATACAATCTGTATCAAGTTCATTCGCTTAAATTTTTTTTGTTGATATTTCTTGTACAGTTCCCCTGAAATGTATTTCCATTACATCAATACTGTAATGAAATATCTTTACTGTCTATTTTTGGGTGGTTATAATAATAAATATGTTCAAGCATCATTAACACATAAACAGGGTTTAATATCCCCGACTTTTTGATAGTCTATGATACACATTTGGTAAATTGGATCCCCAAGAAGTTTAGGAATTATGTATATTGTGTATGTTCTCAAAATAATTAGTCAATGCATGTGAGGGTACTAATCTTCTTCTGAGACTCAAACAAGAAAGTAATGTAAATTGTTTATTCAAATACTAAAGGCAAAAATGCCTTAAAAATCTGTATTACATTCATTCAACAGAGACCAGATACTTCCTCTTTGTCACAGAATACTGTATTCTACCTGTAAAATACAAATAAATGTAGAAAAAAACAAGTTCTAATACAATTTTTACATTTGTTAAAAGTAATACAATGGAAGTACACTAACAACAAAAAAAACACATGATTCAGCAATGAGTCATTTCGAACACCATAAACTATAATTAAACAAGTTTAGTATTATTCACCCAAGATAAAAATGGAATGGCAACCAAAATATCTTTTGAAAGGAAATCACACTTGGGGATAACAGTTTGTCACCAATTTTCTCGAGATGAAAGATGAACCAAAATGAGATTGTTTTTCTCTCTCTATAACCTTTAATGCTCCATATGGAAGTCATTAAGAAAAAATCCTTATTTTTACTTTTAACAAGTTTTATACAAATGCACTTTGGAAAATCCTATAAAACAGCACCTATATATTAGACCAAGGGGGCGTCATTGGTTGTGGATTTTGCAGGTACGACATCACTACTGCAGAGATTGACAACCTAAAAGTGGAAAATAAAAAAGTAAAATTAATCAAAATAATGCTTAAAGATTAAACCTTAAAATTCTGAAGTGCCAGCATTAAAGAATGAAATATTCAATTATAATAATTTATTAAGTCTACATGTATGAAAAATTTTATAATTACTTATTTACTATACAAATGCGATTACGTTGTATTAACCATTATATTAACCCAAATCCGATGGGCATGGCATGCATGTATGTACATGCCATGCCCACTGTGAGTTTACTTTATTAATTGTTTTTACACATAGATGGCTACACTTGTACTAAGTCACCAATGAGCCAATTACGAATACCGCCTGTCTCGCCTGTTTACCCTTTTCCTTGATTTTCAAAAATATTTGTTATCTTATATTGCTGTTACTAATGTCTATAATAAAAATAACACCATTGATATTGACAGCATTAGTAAAAAAAAACAAAAAAAACATTTTCCCACCAATTCAAGGAAAAGTAAAATCAGGTAAGGTCACAAGGTCTACTAACTGACTCCTTTGTGGCTAAGCACTAGCAGAGTCATCTATGTGCAGAGACATTTCACAAAAAAAAAAAAAAAAAAAAAAAAAAAAAAAAAAAAAAAAAAAAAAAAAAAAAAATTGGTCAAGCCACATCTGTAACGAAACATTATATAACGTACATGAAACTGCTGAGCATCTGCTTCGTATCATCGTTTACTCGAGAATTTGCAAAGCTGATGCAAGAGCAGTAGAGTGCCACCCATGCGCACCACTTTAACTGAAAATTGGAAAAAAGAAATATAAATTTTAGTCTCAAATAGAAATCTTTATAGATTTTTCAGGAAAAAAATCAAAATCAGCAATCAACTTAACCAAAATTTAATTCATCAGATTATTGTCAGTCTCAGAAATGAATGTAACTCTATATATTTCAAACATTAATAACAGAGCAATCTATACGAGTCTTTAAATCCAGGAAATGCTGAGGAATGTCTTACTCGCATCATGAGGCCACACATGCTGAAGATCATGCCTAAGACATTCATGTAGTCTGTGGTAGGGTCTTCACCTGGTGCACCTGGAGTTCCCTGAGCAGGAGGTTTGTAACTGTACAAATAGAGGTCTGTTATTTAATTCTGGTCATATGTCTCTTGTACATACACTATGAATATTCTCATTTGCTTTGAAAATGAAAATGTTATCAATTCTCATGTAAAATGTCACAAAATGGAATCCTCAAGGGCAAACTTTAATTTCATGCATCAGATTCTAATATCTATCAATATCAATCAACATAAAATAATAGAAACAATGTCATCATAAAAACACCGAATACTACTGTTTCAGTTGATTAGCTATTCATTCCAAAACCTTAACCAACTTTATTATCATGAAAAAGAAATGAGACAAGAATAAACAATTTGGTTAATTTTTACGGTATGGATGCACTAAGCTTGGAAAAATGAAAGATATCCTTCTAGAGGACAAAAAGTTGCAGTCAAAAAATAATCTGCAGACATGAATGATAATGCCACAAATAAAAGAAAGTGCTGCTCGCAGCCTAAGCCCACTTGGTACTTCTGAGTTTCAGCTCTATCTTGCCGTGCATACCAAGGCAAAGACAATATTCACATTGGGGTGTTTAACACCAGAGACCCCCCCAATCAACTCTCCCTCGGGCAGTGCTTAAAGGGCACATCCAGTCTCGGCACCTTATATCTAAATAAAATTTGGGACAATATGTCGTATAAGGTAGTGGCAGAGTTGGATAATAAAACCTACATGAAATGATAGAACAATACAAACCAAGACAAAGTTCTTCTATAGCAATATATGCACAAATGCTTTCCAAGGGTGCTAGGTATATATATTATCCCTGGGGTCCAGGGGCCACAGCCCCCTGGCTAGGGAATATATACCACGGTGTTAGGTTAGGTTGGATGTTGGGTTAGGTCGCCCATTTGCACAAGGAACAATGCCTAGAATCATTGAAAGCAGTGGATTTCATGCAGAAAAATATCAAAATTGTTTCAAAAGTAACCCATCTTCTTCCCTTTACTTTTACGTATTGCACCTTTAGGAAGCATTTGCGCACATATTGCCATAGAACTTTGTCTTGGTTTGTATTGTTCTATCATTTCATGTAGGTTTTATTACCCAACTCTGCCACCTTATTCTACATATTGACCAAAATTTGTAATGTGGTATTTAGGACTTAGTTTCTGGTTAGTGTGTCTGTTATGTAAAGAATTACCCATGAATATAGCCACATATCCAAAAGCTGTGGCTGCATCTTTTTTGCAACCGTACCAAAATTTCCAGTCTAGAGTTAAATTCAACAAGCCAAGACCAAGAAACTGAAAAGTGGCTTAGTTTTCGCCAAGGTATCCACTCCATACACTTATTTTACTTTACTCTTGGTCGACATATACGGAAAGTTTTCCGGAACTTTGATCTCAACTTGAGACCTATTTCAGAACATCCTATTACCCTATACCAATTTATTTTTTAAGCTAACGAAAGTCTCGAAAAACACCTCATACATCACCTGATAATCTTATCACTCCTCTTAGGATCGGAACTGCTATTTGAAGCTTGCATTTTGGATAATTTTGAAAGCGACTTCTTCTCGTGACCTTAATTCGTCGTCTGCTGGGTGACTGAGGGGCTTCGGTGACAACACAGCGCCG